CTTCTTTTTCTTTATTCTTGAATTCATTGGCCAGTAGGTAATTATTGGCCACGACAGGAGGCAACGTACCGAATTGGATAGTAAGGGGCTGATCTGGATCTTCTTCATCCCTTCTGTCTCACTCAAACCTTGATCTCCCAGAAGAAGTTTCTGGCAGTTCCTTCATTGATTCATCTGTACCGGTCTCTTCACTATTTTTGAGGACATTTTGATTGGCTACCTCGAGTAGTTTAGGTGCTTTAGGATGTGGCATTCCCTGTTGCTGCCTCATCATCCGTCCGTAGTTTTGTTGGAAATGCCTTTGTTGGGTCCTAGTCATCTCATCGAAGGGTATTGCCCTTCCTACATTGTACTGGAATGAATGCCATACATTTGGCCGGCGAGGTTGCGGCCTGAATGTTCTTCCATTATCTGCTGGCCTGAACTGCCTCTGAAAAGGCGGTCCTCTATAGAATGATGTACCTCGCCCTCTACCAGGCTGAGTGTTTGGGAAGAAGGTAGGGCGATGAGGATGCTGCCATGTCCCTGGTTTCTCCATATTTCCATTCACTTCTCTTTTACACCTTGCACACAGGACGTCTTCATCCTTTTTTGGTTCTTTCCCCTTGATTCGTTCAAAGACGCTGGGATGTGGTCTAGGATCCTCTTCTCCATCATCTACGACCAACTTGAATTTTGGCAACTTGTTTTTGAATCCAGATGTCACCATGTTTACTCCAAGTGGCTGTGGGAAAGGATTTTCATCCACTGCCATCTTCTTCTTATCATCGAACGTAATTCGTCCTGATTCAATGGAATCCTGCAATACATGGCGAAAAACCAAGCAATTGTTAGTCAAATGTGACCATGCATTATGCCACTTACAATATTTTTTACCCTTAATTTGTTCAGGGTTTGGCAATTTGTACTTATCGCTCAACTTTATCTGCTTATCTCTATATAATTTATCAAATATAAGGTCAGCTTTGGTCATGTCGAACAATAACGTTCTAGCCTTTATGTTTCCATCTTTTATGGGCTCATCTTTGCCCGATGGTCTAGACTTGGCCATTATGGGACAAGTATATGTATCCCCTTTGATCAATTCGGCCAAATACATTTCGGCCTGATCGTATGACTCGTCGTCGATGGTATGAACGTCAAAATTTGGGTCTTTGTAATAAGTCCCTTTACTAGAATTTTTCATTTGTTCTTCCTCTCTTATCAGTCGCTCATACCTAATCACATTCGCATTCAACTGGAAAAGGTCAGGAAATTCCTTGTTCTGGAACTTCTTTTTTAAATCAAAGCTCAAGCAACCCTGAGTGATTTTGCCAAATTCTTTTTCGGGCAGAGGTACAAAACACTTGCTTCTTACTGTCTTGAATCTTTGGAGAAAACTTTCTTTCCATTCGTTTGACATTTGACTTAGATTCGCCAAATCAACCAAAGTGACTTCAGACTCAGTTTTATAAAACTGAGCGTGAAACAACTGTTCCAATTGTTGCCATGTTTGAACAGAGTTCGCTGGCAAGTTGATGAACCAGGAGAAAGCTACTCCTGTTAACGAACTAGGGAAAAGCCTCATTTTATGGTAATCGGTTACATCACCACTTTGCAATGTGAATCGCCCTATGTGTTCTAGAGTAGACACTTCTCCTAAACCGATAAACAGTGAGAATTCTGGCACTTTGTACCCTCTAGGCCATGGATATGCTTGGTCTACCCAATCAAGATATGGTTTTGTGTACGTCGGCCTAATGACGGGACGTACCCCAAAAGCCATCTGATCCTGTACGATTTTCATAATCTGGTTCCTCAACATGACGTTAGGGTCATATGGAATTCCTACAGGTTGGTTAACCGGTTGATTTGCATGAGGTCTGATGTTTGGTCCTTGATTGGCAACAAAATTACCATGATTAGGGCCATTACCATTAGCCTGAACATCTATTCCCTCATTAACACGTGGAATATTCTGTCCATTGTTCAGGACATTATATTTTATGTTTGGATTACCCCCCAAGTTAGGCATACTACTACCATTGTTCTGATTTGGCACTGTAGTACCCCCTTGGTTTGAAGTAGAGGGACCAGAAAGCGGTTCTATCCCTTGATTCGGATTTAGGACCGAGGGATTATGTCCCACAATTGTCCTAGTTTGAAAGTGGTTTGTAAGAGGTATAGCCGGTTGACATATTTGGCCTACTAACTTATTCATTGTTTCGTTCAACGTCTTTAGTTATTTGGCCATGTTGTCATAGTGTACATTCCCATTTTGTGTAAATCTTTCCATATTATGAATACTTCGAAAATTTACCTGTTCAACGACGTCTTGCGTGAGTTCTCCAAGTAATGCACGCATGGTTCGAGGACTCAACTTCTTCATTGGTTCGTAACGACTGTTACTGCTCTGATTCAGTCCATCTGTTCGTGGAGAGGCATGCTGCTCCTCATATTTCTCGATCACAGACTGGATTCCTCCCTGACTTGCTGCTTCCTTATCGGATCTCTGAGGCATATTGTTTCACCTTTTGTACTTTCAACACTTAACACCACTGTCCCACTGGGCGTGCCAAATTGTTTCGCGCGGGTTAGTCGCTAACAATTAAAAAGGATCAGACGATTGTGTAAGGGACAAACCTCTTGAGACAAAGTCCCAAAAAGGGGTTTTTTTTTTTTATTGGCGATGACTTTACAATTGGAAATGAAAAACAAAGTGTCTTCAAGGGGCGCAAGCACACGAGTTACTGAAAGAAAAGTGTTTAAGTCTAAGCTAAGGAAATGAAAATTACATATTCTCTGTTCGAGAGTTTTTTGATTCGGTCCTTTGCTCTATGTTTTTTCTCCCTTTTATACTTCACAGACGATCTCTTTGTGATCAACCGCCTAAAAACCACTTGATCGCCCTATAACTGTCCACTTTCCTCATAATGGCCAACTTGTCATGAAAATTGCCTTTTAACTGCTGCCATTACTCTTCATCGTTCAACCACTTTCGATTGAGTTCCTTGAATCGTGGAACGTGATAGGGCTGCTTTGATAACGGCACGTTTTGATGACCACAACGCTTTATGTTTGTTAAGACCTTGGGCGACTTGAAGGTTTGGGCGATAATAGAGTAACAGCTTTGGGCGACTGTATGGCACTCCGTTCGCTCAGATTCTGGGCGACTTGTAAACTTGGGCGATGGCGTTACCGCGTTCTTGGGCCTCCCTATTTGGGCCTTCATCTTGATTTGTTTGATTGGGTTTCGTTCTTTGAGCTATCTGATTTGGGGATCCTCCAATTGGGCTTCACTCCTTAGGCCGTTCGATTTGGGTTGAATTTTTATGTGTCAACAGTTCCCATCCACTCGTATGCTTTCGACTTTGGAGAATATTATAAAAAGGTTGGAGATTTGGGGCATCAATTTCTTGAAATTAAAGGTTGAAAGTTCGTAATTCATAAAACTAGAAGTTCGTGATTCAAAAATTAACAATCGAATTTAGATAAAAATTTGAATATTTTATTTTTAATATAACATATATATGAATATTTAGATAATATTATTTATTGAGTTAAAAAAATATAAAATAATTTTTAGATAACACTACTTTCCACAGGAGAGCAATTACAGAAATACTAGTCAAATAGGACTTCAGACATTCGGCCCCTGATTTTAATCAAGGGCTGAGGTGGATTCATATATAAAAGGCTGTCTAAAGTTTCTGTTTCAGAAGCGTCTCTTAGCAATTACCAGAGGTCATTAGGGTAAATGACACAACGTTTCTCGCTATAAAGTCCCTCACGCCTTTGTTACAGTATTAAGATCTTTTCAACCTTATTGCGTTCTCTCTCCCCCAAATATTAAGAACTTTTAAACCTTACGTTCTCTCTCACCCACCGTACACGGCAGCGCCACCTCTTCACCGCCATCGGCTCACCGAGATCCGCTATCCCTGGTAGTTCAACGTTTCTAAATCTGAGTTTTTTACTCACCCCCATATTCCCAGTTTCTCTCTCTAAACATGTTCAAGAAATTGTATATTATTTATTGTTATTACAAATTAAACCCAATTTATGTACTGTTGATCTACGATTTGCCTCCTTTTTTTTCACTGTTTGGGCCGTTTCTCATAATTTCGTGCTTCTTCTACCCATTTTTTATTTTTATTTTTTTGTATAAATTCTTGTCGGCTAAGAGTGTGCTGACTTTGCAAGCATTTAATTATATTTCCCACTTCTTTTATAGGATATTCGCTCCTTGCCCGGTTTGTTTTGGGATTTCGATTTTCATCTCATTTATATTATCTTCCTAATTTATCCAATTCAATCATGTGATTGTTATTTGTTATCATTAATTCTGATTGAATAAATAAATAATTAATTGATATTTGGTTCTTACTTTTGTTCCATGTTGCATCCCAAGTGTTTTGAGTGTTGGCTCAGTTGAAGTGATTAAAGGTCAAAATATACTAATCTGAAGCAATTTTCGGGTAGCTATTTTAATTTTCAATTACCATTTTATTAGCTTTGTCTTTTATCTTCTATGTATTTATATTTTTCTTCTCAATCTTTTCTATCTATTTTCATATGTTTGGTTGAACCTTGTTTTTGTGTCAGAGAATCATAGCACTCTAATGCCAAGTTGTTACATGTATCTTCTAGTAATGACTACTATTTAAATTTCTATAAAGTTAACCTTTAAAGATGATTAAAAAAAAAAGAAAAGAAAAAAACTATGACAAATAAGCCAGTAATTGAGTTGTTTCTAAATGAATAAAATTGATTGTTTAGGTGTTAGTTTACTTTATCTGTAAGTAGTTTAGAATAATAATATTTAAACTCTGCGGAGTCAATTATAAAATGAACAATAATCGCTGTTAGTCCATTGGTTCAACAATTGCTTTTCTAAATGCTTTCCAACCTCTTACCTTAACCAAGTCCGTTCTCAATAGAGTAACTTAATAGTTTTTAAATTTTAATAATATAATAGTGAATTATCTCTTTTTTTATTTTTTCTGTAAAAGTTCAAATATTTTGAAATAAATTAGTGTTTTGAAAAATTTTCTTGATTTACTTTGTACAAAATGCAGGAGACGTCGTTTTGTTTTCTTTCAGCCAAATAAGTGCCCCACGGTTTAATATTTCTCAAAGTAGTAGCTAAAGTTTTTATTGGTTTTTTGACTATATAACAATACTGCTGCAGGAAGTCACATGGCTCAGTTTGTAGAATTTTTTAAAAATGTTTTCTCATGGCTAAGCCAAGACTTGGAGGAGAGTATGAAAACTCTTCATAGAAAAATATTATCGCTGGAAGTTCTGAAAGATGATGTGCACAAAGCATATAATCATGGAAAAAAACGCAAGAGAAATGTTGAAAAATGGTTGATTGATGTTGGAAACAATATATCAGAATCTAAAGCTCTTGAGCTATATTTTCCTAAAGAGCTTTTTCTTGAGGTTTATGAGAGCATTGACATCTGGATGTCATTAATGGATGACAATGTCTTAAGCATTGGAATTTACGGAATGGGTGGAATAGGTAAGACAACTTTGGCTATGCATGTCCATAATAAGCTTTTAAAGGAATCCACATTGTTGGGTCATGTTTATTGGGTCACAGTTTCTCGAGAGTTCAGCATTTACAAGTTGCAAAATGACATTGCCCATGTCTTGAAACTATATTTCTCATGTGAGAATGACGAGAGGAGAAGGGCAGCTGAACTCTTCCAAGCATTCAAGGAGAGGGGGAGATTTGTACTTATATTAGATGATGTCTGGAATCAAATTGACGCAGAGGAGATTGGTATTCCTTTAGGAATGAATGGATGCAAGTTGGTCATAACGAGTCGTTCTAGTGAAGTTTGTCATTGGATAGGTTGTCAGAAGATTATAAAAGTGAACACACTTTCTGAACAAGAAGCTTGGGAATTATTCTTGAAGAAACTTGGCAGAGTTGAACTTCATCCGCGAGTAGAAGGGATTTGCAAGAAAATGGTAAAAAGATGTGGTGGTTTGCCACTTGCACTTGTCACATTGGCTGGAAGCATGAGGAGGGTTAGTGACATTCATGAATGGAGAGATGCATCCGAAGGACTGGCAGAATCATGTATGGGACGAGCCGGAATGGAATATGTGGTTCTGCCAATACTCTTATATAGTTATGATCGATTAAGAGATACAATGCTAAAAGGTTGTTTCTTGCATTGCTCCCTGTATCCCGAAAACTGTCATATTCCAAGAGATGAATTGATTGAGAATTTCATTTCAGAACAGCTGGTGGAGAGAAGTTATAGAAGCTTTAGAGCCGAGATTGACCAAGGTCATGCAATACTGAACCAATTGGAGAGAGTCTGCTTACTGGAAAAGACTTCAAATGGTACAGATGTGAAGATGCATGTTTTGATTAGAGACATGGCAATAGAGATCGCTAAAGAGAACCCTAGATACATGGTAAAAGCTGGAATTCACTTAAGGGAAATACCAGATGAGCAAGAGTGGACAGAAGATTTGGATAAGGTTTCCTTGATGGATAACACTATAATGGAAATTTCACCTGGCACGTCGCCCAAGTGTCCTCGACTTTCAACATTAATTTTGAGTGGCAATCCTTTGAAGAGGATTCCAGATCCTTTCTTTGTGCACATGTGTCATCTACGCACTATCAATTTAAGTCTCACTAAAATTCAGAGCTTGCCAAATTCTATTTCAGACTTGGAGGATCTTAGAACATTAAAGCTGAAATTTTGTAATGAACTGGAATCGATGCCATCCTTGGAAAAACTCAAGGAATTGAGACATTTGGACCTCACGGAATAGGTAAGACAACTTTGGCAATGCATGTCCATAATAAGCTTTTAAAGGAATCCACATTCTTGGGTCATGTTTATTGGGTCACAGTTTCTCAAGAGTTCAGCATTTACAAGTTGCAGAATGATATTGCCCATGTCTTGAAACTATATTTCTCATGTGAGAATGACGAGAGGAGAAGGGCAGCTGAACTCTTCCAAGCATTCAAGGAGAGGGGGAGATTTGTACTTATATTAGATGATGTCTGGAATCAAATTGACGCAGAGGAGATTGGTATTCCTTTAGGAATGAATGGATGCAAGTTGGTCATAACAAGTCGTTCTAGCGAAGTTTGTCATTGGATAGGTTGTCAGAAGATTATAAAAGTGAACACACTTTCCGAACAAGAAGCTTGGGAATTATTCTTGAAGAAACTTGGCAGAGTTGAACTTCATCCACGAGTAGAAGGGATTTGCAAGAAAATGGTAAAAAGATGTGGTGGTTTGCCACTTGCACTTGTCACATTGGCTGGAAGCATGAGGAGGGTTAGTGACATTCATGAATGGAGAGATGCATCCGAAGGACTGGCAGAATCATGTATGGGACGAGCCGGAATGGAATATGTGGTTCTGCCAATACTCTTATATAGTTATGATCGATTAAGAGATACAATGCTAAAAGGTTGTTTCTTGCATTGCTCCCTGTATCCCGAAAACTGTCATATTCCAAGAGACGAATTGATTGAGAATTTCATTTCAGAACAGCTGGTGGAGAGAAGTTATAGAAGCTTTAGAGCCGAGATTGACCAAGGTCATGCAATACTGAACCAATTGGAGAGAGTCTGCTTACTGGAAAAGACTTCAAATGGTACAGATGTGAAGATGCATGTTTTGATTAGAGACATGGCAATAGAGATCGCTAAAGAGAACCCTAGATACATGGTAAAAGCTGGACGAGATTGACCAAGGTCATGCAATACTGAACCAATTGGAGAGAGTCTGCTTACTGGAAAAGACTTCAAATGGTACAGATGTGAAGATGCATGTTTTGATTAGAGACATGGCAATAGAGATCGCTAAAGAGAACCCTAGATACATGGTAAAAGCTGGAATTCACTTAAGGGAAATACCAGATGAGCAAGAGTGGACAGAAGATTTGGATAAGGTTTCCTTGATGGATAACACTATAATGGAAATTTCACCTGGCACGTCGCCCAAGTGTCCTCGACTTTCAACATTAATTTTGAGTGGCAATCCTTTGAAGAGGATTCCAGATCCTTTCTTTGTGCACATGTGTCATCTACGCACTATCAATTTAAGCCTCACTAAAATTCAGAGCTTGCCAAATTCTATTTCAGACTTAGAGGATCTTAGAACATTAAAGCTGAAATTTTGTAATGAACTTGAATCGATGCCATCCTTGGAAAAACTCAAGGAATTGAGACATTTGGACCTCACGGGTACTAGTATTAAGGAAGTACCTAAAGGTATGGATAGCTTAACCAACCTCAGATTCCTGTATTTGAGATGTTCTAAATTAAAGGTGTTACCGACAGAGATTTTGCATAGACTCTCACGTCTTAAGTTGCTCTCATTGCCAATTCATATATGTGTACCAATAGAAAAAGTTGAGGCATTGAAAAAGTTGGAAGTATTAGAAGGTAGATTAAATAGCGCACGTGATCTCAATCGATTACTAAAGTCTCGACAACGTGACAAGCGACTCAGTTTCTACAGATTGTCTTTAAGCTCAAAAAGGTATAGAGATTTTGATGATGTTCATATACTAAGCTGTAAACGGGCACAGTTTGAAGATGGCAGTCTCATGGAGTCCTCTTCACGCAAAGATGGGAATTTGCTTCCACGAGATATTCAAGAACTAATATTTGATAATAGTGGCTTGAGTTGTTGCTTAATGGATGATTTCCCAATTTTGAATAATGCTAGAGACTTAAAGTCCTGCATCATAGAAGATGAGGATAAATTAGAGTGCATTATGAGGTTATCGTCTGCAAATGATCAACAATCTAGTGGCGCCCCATTCCAAAGCCTTGAAATTTTGAAACTTGGGAACTTGCGAAATTTTATTGGACTTTTCATGTGGGAAGCAGCTGCACCTCTTTCACCTTTCACATTTTCCTGGCTCAAAAAGTTCAAGATTGGACATTGTTGTAAAGTGAAGAAGCTTTTCCCTCAGAGTTTGATACATAATTTTCGTAACCTCGAAGAGTTGATGGTCTTTAACTGTGTACAAATGGAGGAGATAATAGAAGGTGACAAGAATGAAGGAGGAAACAGTATTAGTGCTGATATCACATTTCCAAGGTTACTTATTTTGCATCTTAGGAATCTGCCACAACTGAAGAGCATCTGCAAGGGGTTGATTATTTGTGATTCCATTCGGCACATTTTTTTGGAGGGCATTAAAAAGATAAAGAAAGTGCCTTTATATCTGCAGCTTCTCAATGGACAACCATCTCCGCCGCCATCTCTTATATTAATTTGGATATGTAGAGAAGACAAAGAATGGTGGGAATCATTGGATTGGGACCATCAAAATGCCAACAGCGTCCTTGAACGCTTGGTAAGATACTTTGATGGGCAGTGGTGGATGGCCCAGGATCAGCCTTCTAATACTGGCTCTGGCCCTGTTGATAACTGAAGAAGTTGTTTGATTAAATTCATCCACTCAGGTATGTATCTATTCCGTCACCTCATTAATTTTAAACAACGTTTTGCTTTTATTTTAATTAATTCCGATAAATATTTTTTTAAATATACTTTTTGTACGTATGATCCGAAAAGATAGCATGACTTACTAATTATCACAATACTTAACCCTTAATAAGAATAATCACAGAATCATTAATTCAAAATTATAGTTTTAAATATGAAAATCATATCAGTTTATCGTTTATATTTAATTAACAAGATGCACCTTTTTCATGTAAGAATATTATGAGGTTTTCACAAATTAGCCTTTCAGACAAAAAAATAAATAAAATAAAATAAGGTTCTCACAAATTTGTAAATATCCAAACAACATTTAGATATAAAATCAGAAAATAAGTTATTTTACAATAAACCTAAAATTTAAATAAAGTTACTATCAATTCAAATTTGTACAAAATAAGTTATAATATTAGAAAAATACATTAATTAATAATCATTTATTCCAGCCTATCTTAATTGTCTCATAATGCTTTTGTGTGTATTTTGATTTTTAAGCATTTTCCAGGTGGTGTGATAATATCTAAGCTCGACTAATTCTAGCATCTTCACATCTTGATTAAGTTAATAATTGACTCATCCCATATTTTCTCTTAATTTGAGGAAACTTTTCTTGTCAATTTTAACTTGAGATATTACAAAATTTTACTTCTTCTTGTCAGGGTTTTACAAGAATGCTTAGCTAATATGGTTGGCTGGGATTCAAGACAATATCTAAGCTGGAGTTTGATCAACGTGTTGCAGCACTTTTTAGGCATTTCATGGCGATCCAATTCGGTTTCTGAAGGTTGTCTTCTAGGTGTATTAATATCTTATTTGATAATGCATACACTTCCGTAATAAACAATATGTTTTGGATAGTATGTGTATTATATTTTATAATTTTATGAAACGTACAGTATATCGGACTTGAGAATATCCACTTATATTCCATTGGATTCTAAGCATTTGTTTTTGTGGGGACAGTGAATGCACAATTTGAGAAAGATGGTTACAGTGGCTGAAACGGAAGTAAAATGAGTCAAATGAATTGGAGAAGAAAAGTGACCAGAGAATGAATATTTATAATCTGGAAAGGAAGAGTGGATTTGGAGAAAATTTAGATGGTTTGGTGAAAGAAAGTGGTTTGTAGTAGGAAACTAAACGAAATGGGATACGATTTATGATTATATATATATATATATATACACGGGAATGATCTCTTAAGCACTGGTGCTTAATTTATGTTAAGCAACGATGATATGGTTTATCATTTAATTGGTAAAGTTTTGTTGCTTTTTAAGTTGGTATTGTCCAACTTATAAGAACTTTGTGAAATTTTTTATCAAATTTGTTATAGTCAAAGTTCGCCTTGGTGGTGGGTCCAGTGCCTTGTTGGCATTTACTATCGTCGCCTGTCACTCTCTAAATTTTTTTTATCAAATTTGTTATATTCAAAGTTCGCCTTAGTGGTGGGTCCAGCGTCTTGCAGGCATCTATCATCGTCGTCCGTCACTCTAGTAGCATTCGATGTATATGAGGTTATCAATTACAAGTAGTTGTGGGAAAACTTACCTGCTTCCAGATTTCATCTGTAACTCATATTACCATTGGTAAAAGACTGGAGATGGAATCTAAGATGATGGAAGGATCTGTTTTATTCTGGAAGAAAGTTGTTTGAAATGATTCAATGGTGAAAGTGTTACTACAAATCACGGATTGGCACTATGGTATATGGTTGTAGCTTTAGTGGTTTATTTGTGTGTAAATATTTAAATTGGAGTGTGCAAGCCGCCTAAGTATTAAGATTATAAATTATGAGATTCTTTTGTGGGTATTTCTAGGCAATTTCTCGCTCAAATTGGCAAAAGTGCCAACCGATATTTTGATAGACGTGTTTATTTTGATAGATGGGTGTTGGAGTAGACTAGTGTTATCACTTAATAACCGAATTTAAAAATGTATCTCATTTGTCATTAAACTATGCACCGTGTCCCCATTCATCACTCAAATGGAAAAATCTGTTAAGTTCAAACAAACGGCGTCGTCTTGAGTGATGGATGGATGACACGGCGTATAGTTTGATGACCATTGAGTTAATTTTTAAGTTCAATTATAAAGTAATAATACTTAGCAAAGTTTAGTAATCATTGAAATACATTTTTAAGTTCGATTATTAAGCAGTAAAAATATCTTTTTCCCTCAACTGTGAAAGAAGACATTAAAGAAAATGAAGGAAAAATTTTGAAAAATCAAATTGACCTCAGTTATCTTGGCATTAATTTGATTTGAACATTTGTGTACTTTTACTTCTTTTTTTTTGTCAATTTCTTTAAGTGTTCCTATCGTTTCTCTTTCAATCTTTTATGTGAAGTTCGAGATACAGTGTACTGATTCTATTTATCTAAAAATCAAACATACGTTTTCTCCCTGATGAATGGACATCAGCAAAAGTTCTCTTTTTTTATGCAATTTATAGGTCTCCGACTTTCTACTTCCTCTTTTCTTTTCTTTTCTTTTTTTTTTTTCCTTCATTTTCTTTGGTTTCTTCTTTTACAAATGTCGATTTGAGGGATTTAATAATTGAATTTAAAAATATATCTCAATAGTTATTGAACAATGTCAAGTGTCACCATTTAATAACTAAACTTAATAATGTATGTCAATGGTCACTGAACTTTATCGAGTGTTAATGCTTCATAATTGAATTTAAAAATGTATTTTAATGGTTACCGAACTATGCATCATGTTACTCATCCATCACTCAAGCCGACTTCGTTTGTTGAACCTAACGGATTTTTCCACTTGAGTGATGAATAGATAACGTGGTGCATAGTTCAATGACCATTATGATATATGTTTGAGTTCAATTATGAATTTGTAACACTTGGTGAATTTCAATGATCATTGAGATAAATTTTTAAGTTTAGTTATTAGGTAGTAATACTTAACAAATTTCAATAATAATTCACGTAATTAACCCTTGTATGTTTTGAAAATTATGGTTGCTATGTATCATATAGAGGATGATGCATAAATATAAAATCATGAAGGTGTGCTGTGAGAAAGAATCTTATAAAAAATGCCAATTTAGAACCTAGGTAGAAAATGGAATTGTGGTGGACAAGGACGTTAGTTACCTTACTCAGGATGTTGAAATGTATGTGATCGTGATGATCTGGCTATGTATGTGTCATTTGATTATATGAATTACAAGTGTCAACATTTAAATGTGAGGTTATATCATATATGATTTAGAACGGACATTGTGGATTTGTGATAAATAAGAGATGTCTCAGTTAAGATGTTAATATGTGGCGATGTGAAATCGTGTAGCAACAGGCACTACGAAGCTCACAGGAAATTGTCACAAATTTCAAGAACGCCAAATACACCAAGATTTTGGATCCAACCCATGAATAGTGAACTAAGCAACCAAAAGTATATGAAATTAACGACCTCTTAATCACACAACTTACGAAATCACACCTGAATTTGTGGATTTTAACCCAAGACAATAAATTAAGAAAACCCGACAATAATGAAGATTATAGAACCCCTTGATTACATGTATTGTAATTCACACCCGATAGTTTTGAACGTCACAAAATGTTCTAAATCTCGATAAGTTCGATGTTTTGTTCCATCAAGAACAAGTAATTGAAGCAAAGCTTTAAGAGAAGAAATCTCAATTTTTAATTCAAGCAAAAGTCTCGATTGTTACAATGAGAAAATAAGAAACTTATTTATGCTAACCCTAGAATAATGTTAGAAAAAGGGAATATATCTTCTAAAGATTACAAATATTGCATAAAATTGGAATTCTAACATAAATAGGTAACTCGCGAAAAAAGGAAACTTTGCGTCTCAAAAAAATACACCTTGTGATCGCATTGTATAATCCAATGCAGTCGCATAATTCATTTGAAATCCTTCAATTTGGTCTCGAGAATGGTCTATATGGTCGCATGCCTTTTATACTATGCGGTCACATAGTATTAAATTTGAGACCTCCTTTTTCTTGTGCAGAATTTTGTGATGATTCCGAATTGTACTCATGGGCAAAAATTCGATTCCCGAGCTGAAGGTTATGCCCGTTTTAATCCACACTACTCGTTCTTCCATATATCTTCCAAAACTTTAAATCTAATGCCTTCACGACCAACATATACATTGTTATTTGGTTTGTTAACTTCGACATTTTGGACGTCATAGCTCGAACAAATAATTTGCATAACTTGTTAGCTCGAATCTCGGTCTTTGTCACTCGTCAACAATCAACAAATTCTCGATAATTTCTGCCCCATGTCGAGTTTAGTGTACATTCGAGAGGAGGCAAGTGTACATTGCTCTTGGATCACATCATGTGGTGAAATATTATTTTATGAAAGTGAGTTAAATTCACTAAAATTGTTGTTGAATTGCTGTGTTATACTAGAATTAGGTAGAGACCATCATGTTACACTAGGAATATAATATGAGTTTTTATGAGATTTTTGCGATGCCATTTGCATTACTATCTTTTTAGTTTTATTTTATGAAAGTGAATTCATTAGGCGTACACGATCAACAAATATGGATATAGGTTAGGAATGATGGTATTTAAAGTTCATGTAATTTAGCACATGGAACTTTGTGGATTTTTAGAAATAATAAAATTCAATAATGGTAGGCCATGAAATGATGATATAAAGAACTATAGAGTGCAGTTTGTGGTAGTTGTATTGTGTAAATGATTTAAAAGGAGAGAACAATAATGTATAGGAAGGTCTAAATTATTCCTAGTTAGAACTCGATCATCACAAATGTCTATTTCTATTCGAGTTCGAGAGTAATTATAAGAGAATGTCATTACGAACCTTTTTTGAGCTTCCATATATGTCGGAGTTGTTGTGATGGTAATTAGATATGCATGTGCTATTTATAGTAATTACTAGTGAAGGAACATGATGTAGTGTAAGTAATAATATTGGAATTTGATCATGTGGTATTTTAATGGAAAGTAAGACCTGGTTAGAAGTATGATTACATTGGATTACATAAAATGTAACGCCCCGAATTCTCGGAAACTGAAGCGTTAAAATAATATTCGTTTCTTTCTTTGGTTCGACCCCTTTGACGCTAGCCAAAGTATTTTATAAATCCAATTTTTTTTTAAAATATATAAAAATATAATGGAAGGTAGTTATCTATATAACTTAGGCAAATGTAGCAAAATTTGATTTTTTTGTAAAAGATTTGAAGACAAATCGACAGTTACGGATTTAACAACAGCGAAAGAAAAATATTTTTGGCCTAGCAAATGTCTATTAAAATTTATGAAATTTTTACAGGGACTAAATCATTCATATATGTACCACATATAAAAATTTGGGGTTTCGACGATAACGTTTGAGGCACGAAAATATTACTCGAATATGCTGGACAAAAATCTCGGATTCGACACGATGCAGTTTACTAAAACAGGCATAACTTTATTTTTAGATAATATTTTCGAGAAATTCCAAAGGCCACTATTAGAAGACTCATAGAACTTTCAAACCCCACTGATTTCACTTAAAAACATGCACCGTAGCCCAAGTTATGCTATTTTCAACTAGAAGGACAGAAACTGAAATTTCCACCCAGCATAAAATAAAACTTCATACAAATCAATCCAACACTTTTGAATTCTTGTTAACATGCACTGTCTAAAAATGAAACAAAATAAACATTAAAAAGCATTTCTAAAAGTTCATCTAAGCTCCATGAAATATTTACATAAATAGAAATATTCACTAGAAATTGAAAGAATTAGAGATTGCCGAACACTTGCCACTATGCCAACCATTGCCATGCCTCGATCTTAACCTGTAAAATTATTTGTAGGGATGAGTACTATAAATAATACCTAGTAGGAAACACTTAAGTAAACGGTAAAAATATATATTTTCAGAAATGCAA